CGCGTGTGTCCGAGCTGCAGAGGGGTGCGGGTTGCAGAGCAGCGGAGCTGGGGATGGCGAGGGACCCCGACCACGACTGCCAGGATCCGTCCACAAGTCTTATCCTTCGGCGAGTTAATTGCTCAGAGCTTTCTCTGTATCATTAAAACCTCATCGAGCGCTTTCTGGATTCTTAGTCTTATTTTGTAATTAATATTTATGTATCGTTCAAAGCTTTTTTTTATTTGTTCGTGATTTAAGCCAGCTGTTCAATAAATACACCTGAATGAACTTAGGCTAATTGTGGACTCTCTTTATCTGGCTCCATGGGGTACTGAAAGTTATTCTTTGTGTACCTTTTCAAATATGTAAGGCACTTGAGGAAAGCAGAATGTCAGGAGATATTGAAAGAATTAAAAAATAAATAGAAGATGAATTAGGCAGAATCAGCATTTCTTCCTTTGAAGCAGATGATCCTGACACAGAGGTACCAGATGGACCTCTGAGTGACAGTGACACAGTAAATATTCAAACACAGAGGTACCAGATGGATCTTTGAGTGACAGTGACACAGTAAATATTCAGTGAGTTAAAACTGCTTCTATTTCTGCTTGAAAGTAGTACAGACATTGGAAAGCCTGATGAATGAACATTTTCCTGATGTGCCTCATCTGAGCATTTCTTCTGAAAAGTGGTCTCAGTAGTATTGCTTCATTAAAACTGTAACCTCCAGTGGTGACAAGACAATGAGAGATTGTCAGCATTCTGCTTTAGTGAGAAAATCAGACCTGGGGATTTTGTTTTAGAATCCTCTGAAGGTGGAAGATTTGATTAACACTAATGAGTTAGATCAAATCTGGATGAATAAACCAATTATTCTTCATTGAAATCTGTACTTAAATCTATAAGAGATCGTCTTATATGATTCCTTATGAGACCTCCTGATACTGAGTTAGTATAAATTGATGCTTCAAGTCCTCTTTTTTGTTCAACTTATTATTTTGGGGAATGATTTTTCTCTGATAGACAATCAGTTATTTCGGGTCCTTTTCAGTTATTTGAATCTTTCAGACTCATAGCAAAAGGATTGGTTTGCAGATTATTAGGATACATAGTATTGGTCATGTGTGACCATAAATTATGTTTGACATGACTTCAAGAGAGGCAAAGCCATCACTGCTAAGAATTTATGCACTCACATGCTGAGTGCCAGCTGTATTTAGTACAATTTGCACATCTCAGAGAAGGCAGTCCATTTTCCCAAATTCTTTCACAAAAAGGCTCTCTTCTGAATAGACAGTTTTAAGTAGTAAAGAAAGTTGAAGCATTGGATTTACATGGTTTTAAACATTAGCAAATTTAAAATTAATGTGTTTTAAAAAGAGGCTAAATGTTTTTAAGATAAAGATCCTGTGCATCATAGGTATTCCTTAATTTTTGTCTTTTCCTTAATTTCTTGATCCAACTCAGTTATAAATACATTGTTAATAGAAACATATTTCTGAAGATCATGGAAGATAACTTTCACTAAACATTTAACACTAAAATGTGTTCCAATTAAAATTTGATTAGAATGTAATTAATTTTAGAATTGCTAATTGTTCAGTGGGTGGTCAGGCCATGGGAAGAATGTAGGAGTTGGGAACAATTTTGGTGGCAATTGCTATTAAATCTCTGTCGAGGTTTCATAGGTGAAGCCAAGATGAATCTTTATTCTGACGTGTCAAGTATTTACCTCTGGTCTTGCCTGTGAGATGAAAATGTATAATTTATGTTAAATGTCATGATTTTGTAGATTTCAGGTGACTTTCCTGAATCAGTTCTCTTTATCAAGAAGAGCAAACAAAACACTGAAAAGCTTATACTACAAGACTTGGAAGATGGACAAACTGCAAGTAAGCAGGCATCATAGTTAAATGTGCACCTCATAATGCCAGCAGAAGTTAAGACTACCAGTAGTAAAATAATGCAAACTTTTAAGTAGAGCAAGCAGTGCAACCTATTCTGTCAGCTTCTGAATTCATGCTGAAAATCTCTAGGAATAAAACCATGTAGTGCTCTTGTGTAGGATTAACATCTGTGTATGAATTGAACTTTTCTAAAAATTCATTTAATGCTAAACAAGGCAATTTGCAAGATCATTCTTTTAATCAGGGCCTGGGCCAGACTGTTCATGAGAATCTAAAATGAAGTCAGTAGGAGCCGGAGTTCAGAGTTCAGTTACAATTGCCCCCCAGCTGTCTTTAGAGATACCCAAGCTAGCATGAAATGAAATGAACTTGTAATTTGGAACAATGTTGCTGTCAGCTGTGTGACTGAAGCCAAGCTCTCAGTTTATATGCCAGAGAGCTGGCATTGTCTGTTGCATTCTAGTTTTTCACATCATCTTGATTTTCACACTCATTTAGTGCAATAGTCTTTGGGAACAGAAGTTCAGTATTGTCTATAAATGTTGATATTTGAGGAAGGTTCCTTTTTACCCTTTTTTATAGTTCTTTGTCAGTTTTTGACCTATCTGATACAAATTCTACTCTATTTTTCTGTACAGAAAATGTTCTGCTGTGTTCCATGCTGTGGAATTCTCTTTCATATTTGCTATCACTGTGTTCTTACAGTGTCATTGTGTGTGTTTCTGTTAGACATATTTGCTGCTTTGAATGTAGATAAATTATTCACATAGATATTTGAGTGGAACTGGGGAGAAGGAACAACAACCCAACAACTTTATTTTAGTTGAAAGAAATTGAGTAGCTAAGCAGATTAGGGCAGAACCAAGCAGTGATAAGGGATTTTCTCTCTGTGACAGAAAAACCTCACAGAGAGATGTCTATTGTTAAATATTTATCTTTACTTTAGACAACCTTTGTGGAGTAGATTCCTGCCATGCTTTTGAATCCAATGGAGATCCAGAACAATTCAACAAAAAGGTATCTTTTCTTCATACAATATTATAGTGGACAACATTGTATTAAATAATAACTTACACTTGCTTTGGTGACTTCCTAAGTAGACCTATAAATGTGTTCAGTTTTGTTTCTGTCTGACTATCCATGAGGTAATGAGTTCATATACGGAATTCTTTAGAACCGAGACAGCAACTGTAATACACCATGTCTATAAGCTTTACAATTTGAAATAAATTCTCTTTATCAGTACGTGAGATACTGAGCACAAAAATCAACAAAATTAAAACTGAATAACCCCTTATTGTTAATTAGTTGCAGAATGTTAATAGGATGATAGTATATTTGAACTTCTCTAATTTTTTTTTATGATGATCAGGAAGATGTGCTACTATTAATCTTGCTCTTATTATATTCCATTATGTTATAGAAAATATAAGCATAGTAATGTCTTTTAAAGACTTTTAAGACATTTTAAAGACATTAAAGACTTTTAAAGACAAATCAAGCGTTATGAACCTGAATTCTTTTATATTCTCGTAAGAGTTGACTGAATCACTTACTGAAGTTCTTAGAAAAATATAAAAATCTATTTAATTTCTTCACGTTTAATTTGTTGCCTGTCTTTTATTAGTGAGCACTTCTGCAAACATGATTTTTTTGTTCTCAGAAGACCATTGTTTAGAACAGCACAATTACTTTGTGACTCAACTGCATTACAAATATTAATATATGCCCCAAGCATGTGATGAATAGATGATTGATGAGCAGGAATAGATTACTTGCCAGAACAATGAAACAAATATAGCAATCCTTGTGCCCATAGCATTATTCTGAAATCGGCTTCTTAAGAGTTTACTCTGTAACTAGTTCTTCCCCTGTGAGCATAACACTATTAATGCATAAATATAGTGCTTGGTTCCACAGAAAGTAAAATAAATCCCAAATGCAAAACATTCATTTTTCCAAGTCAAGATGTAAAATATGTTAAAAAAAAGCATAGAAATATTGTGTATTTTGGGAAACACTACAATATTTATTACTCTAAAAAACCACTGTTTTAATTGGTACATTTGCATTATTCAGCGTGTAAGGACTCCAGTCAGTAGTGAATTTTGTACTGCTGTACCTATTATGTGTTAAAAGCTTATCCTTGTTCTTGAAGATTTTTCTAATGTTCCACTTTTAAATTTTGGGTTTTGTTTCTTAATAACAATATGAAACTGTATTAGATACTGTTTGAAATTGAAAATGAAGACTTGCAGATTGCTGCAACACCTAGTTATAGTCAGTCCACCAGTGATGAAGTGGTCACTGGTGACCACTGTGTTACAGGTAAGCAAACACGTTAGTCATTTGATTGAGTTGATCTTTAGCATTGTATCACTATTTCCTGCTTTTCTGTTTTCATAAGTATCATAACATTCTTTTTTAAAGAATTGTACATTACAGGATACAGCAGGACTTGGTACTTGATGAACTGGACATGAGCAAGTGCCTATGCTTTCATCTCACTTCAGGATCACAAAATCGTCCCAGTCTTTAATGTCTTAACAGAAATTTGTGTCAAAAAAATAATTCCACATGTTGACTTGTTGCACAGAGTATCTAGTCATGTTTTGCTATAGTGTGGTGCATACTGAAGGATAAAATTAGATAGCTGTCCACAAAAGAGCATAAGAATATGAAGCAATATAACCCTCATATATTAGTCTTGTGAGGCCACAATATTTTATTATTTAGCCTAAATAATTATATTTTGTGAGACACATTAACACTACATTTTCGGTGAACTAACTTGTGGCTTTTTGAATATGTGAACATCTTGGTCTCAGCAAGGTAATTCAAGTCACCAAAAATAAGGAAGGGCTTAGGAAGTGAAAAGACGTTTGATCTCTGAAGGCCTCAGTGTCTGCCATACCTCTCTTTCCAACATGCTACAAAATTGGTTAGGCCTTCTTGGCTCTTTGGTGTCACAAATAATTTTTGGATGTGGAATGGCTTTCTTTCTCTAGACGAAGTGGGGCATGGCCCCATTTAGACACTTTGGTACTGCTGTTGCTAGAGCACTCTGTTTGGAGGTGAGAGACAGAGACTAACTTCCCCCATTACTGAAGAATCTTGATGTCTAGTCTCCTGTTGTCTGACCAGCATGCTTCTGAATATCCATGAAAAACAATGCTTAGACACCTGGGAGACTTTATTATCCAAGTTGGAATTGCTGGTTTGTTTGTATTAGTTCCTTCATATCCTGCTCCATATTTGATTTGTCCGATACTGATATATCTTGATTCCACCAGGAATTAACATGATTCTGGATCAGCCTCTGTTTTTCAGTTACTTACTGTCTGCTAACTTTCAGTCAGATGTAATTCCAGACGATGCAAATTTGTTTTCTCTGATTGAGACTATATTGGGCAAGGAGGGAAATGCTATTTATCTGCAACTGGTGAGAAGATAGATTTGAAGTTTCATTTTCCATTGAGAAACAACTTAAGTAAAAAAAAATTCTTTAGCTTTACTGAACAAAATTCCCATTCAAAAGATTTTAATATTATCAATACATACCTCTGCAATCAAAGGGAGACTGTTCATGCTACTTTCAGAGTGTTTGTTTTGATGTGTTTCTGTTATCTGCCTGTCCTTTGAATAGTTGTTTTGTAAGTGTAGTTTTCATCTTCAATAGTAGTACAGGCTTTGGAGAGGAAGTTGTTTGGGTCAGTACCAAAATGCTGACTCACTAAAGGTATGCATCTTTAAGTACATGACCAAATCTGCATTACTGATGCAAGTGTCCTGTTTATTTTGGTTCACACACAGCTCAGTTTCTCCTTTAAATTCAGGCATTCACAAAAGTGGACTGTTGGAAAGTCGAGAAGATGGGTGAGGTGAGACTGTTTTGTGTTGTTCCAGGTTTTGTACAATATTAATGTTAATTTATTGGGCAGAAAATCCAGTCTGCAGTAAAAAAATGAGTTACAGAAAGAAAAGAAAGCTTGGAGAGACAAAATCATACATCATGAGGTGAGGCTGTACAATGAGCTTTTGTCAAAAGATTGTGAGGATACTGTCATATAGTTGAGAATACATGTTATCCTGGAGCCATTAATGCAGCAGATTCTGTTTATTAATGATAAACATGTGCCAAAACCTGTCCTATTTTAAAAGTGGTTGAAGTCTGTCCAAATTGTTTTGGCCTAGGAATTGATCATGAAATGACAGTTGCAAATGGAAGAGATTAAAATGGCCTTGGAAGACTAGAAAGCGAAAGGAAGACAGCCCCTAGCTGAACAACAGAATATAGCAGCTGTGAAAATCCAAGCTAGATTCAGATCACTTTTAGTCCATACAAATATGCTCCCATTTTAAAAGAATGGAAATATGAAATGATAAAGAAGCAGAAAAGATTAGAAGAAATAGAGAAATGAAAGAGAGGAAATAGTGAAGAGACAAATGGAAGAAAATAGGCTGAAGAGAGAGGAGGAAAACAGGAAACAAGAAGAATTTGAAAGACAAGAATATCTGGAACAGGTGAGGAGGCATGAGGAATATGAGAAAAAGAAAGAAAGCCTGAGACTTGAAAGAGGAAAACAACTGCAAATAAGAAGAGAAGAACAGAGAAAACTAGGACAAAATGTAGCAAAAGCTGTGATGAGTCAAAGTGTTGAAAACAACAACAAAAAAAAACATAAGAAAGGATAATCAGACATAAAATGCAAAAGTAATAAGAGAACAGAAGAAGGAACTAAATAAGCAAGTAGAGGAACAAAAAGAAAAACATGCTGAAATGATGGATGAAACAAATAATTGGATGATTCCAGCAGAAAGAAATTTGACACCAACACCAAATATGCCAGGCTCTTCTCAAGTAAGTAATGAGGAAATGGATGTGAATTCAATAACACAAGTAGAAGAAAATTGCTCACAAACTAGATACCTTAATAAGACTCCATGTAGTTATACTTCAAAGGATGAATCTCAACTCTGGAGCTAATGGCATGATAGAAAATAAAGCAAACATCATATGCAGCAGTCCACCAAATGGCCAGCCAAATGCTAGTAACAGAGAAGTCAAAGATCAATTTTCTCGGTATGAAACAATGAAGAAAACTGTGTTTCTAGTGGAAGATGCTAATGAGGAAGTGAGAAAACGACCAAGGAGAAGTTCAGTTAGAAAGATGCCTCCATTAAGTACAGAAAAAATAATTCATACTGGCCCTTGGAGTAGCTTGCAGTAGGTAACTATATAGTAGATTTAGAATGAAATGGGAAGCCATACTAGCACTTTTTCGGGTTTTTTTTTTTTTTTAGTTTGGTATGTCAGCAGAATGTTTTGTAAGAGGAGATTATTGTTGAGCAGGATATAAAGCTTGTCAGAGTTCCTATGCCCAGCTGCAGAATAAGGGCAATGAGAATGACTTTTGAATTCATTTGAGTGACATGGAGCAAACTAGTGTGGTATTAGTTTTCAGATGGTTGATAGTATTGTAAGCCTGTAAAAGACAAGAGCTCCTATTTTCTCGTAAATTAACAAGGTTTTGCCTTTGTATGAGGGCCCACATTTCAGCTCCCACTCAACTAGCCCCTTCAGAGTTTTGTGAGGGCTAGTGTCTTCCAGAAGCAAGACACTATTGATCAGCTTATAGATGGTGTTTTATCATAAAGGACATTTCTTGGCTCCTGGGATTTTTCTTACCACTTCCTAACTTATCACTGTATACTTGCTCTGTGCTCTCTTGTTTATATGCACTCTGAGATGACATATTAGACTATACACACCTTTTTTTCATCTGTTCATGTATACTCACTCACTCATTATTTTTGATAGTGATGCCTGTTTTCATATTAACTTCTCCCATTTAACAGATCAAACCTATCATTGCCATGCGTTCCTAAATGAAAAGATTAACAGTAGTTGCATGCATGTTCTAAAACATGAGAAGACTGTAGTTTTGGTCTGGTTCTCATTTTAAAGAACACAACCATAATGTGACATTGTACAATGAATGTTCAATATACAAACAATTAAATTTTTTTGTCAATAAATATGTAGAGATTTGCCAGCCTGTAGCCTCTCAGCATTGTCTGAGTGTTCAAATCTTCAAGTTTTGACTCTGAGACGCTGTGGACTAGTTGCACTGGAATGACTAAGTAACTACAAATACCTAAAGTATACCAATGTGGAGGTACCAAGTGTATTTGATTCTTTATTCTATCATGGAGAGAGCTGCCAGTTTTGCTGCTTAATTGATTATGTAGTTGTGTTCAACTGAATATATAAATGTTAGTGCCTTAAGAGCATAGGAAGATCAACAAAATACTCCCAAATGTAAACAAAGTTATGCCAGCAGATTCAGAACCAACATGCTGCAAATTAGTCAGCTTGTACTAAGAAAAGTATGATTGTATCAGTCTAGGATTAGCATTAGTATGGCACTGTGATTGATGTTGGTTACCTCAGTTTCTCTGATTCATGAGTGAGCAGACGCTGTTTACCATAGCAGATGCTCAGCTTGAGCAGGAGTAGGTAGAAGAAAGAGTCCTTAGCAATACACACCTTGAATATCAGTTAAAATTGCTAACATATATGCTCAAGGAACAGTACAGTGAGTTACACTAGGGGCATAATGTCTAGGTATTGGCTAATACAGAGTGTCTTATATGGCCTTGTTTAATGACTAAAGAAAACATTTTCTCTGTGATGCATCTTGGCTCCAGAATTTGACAATTTGCATGAAACAACTTTGTTCACATTTTTAATTTCATGCATTTTAGCAGCAATTCACAAGAAGAAGAAAAGAGCAAGCACAGCAAATAGTGAAATAGAATCTGATCAAACATTATTAAAATGTTCTGGGGAAGAGGATGTTTAAAAAAGCAAGATCTCTTGCAGGAAGAACATTAGCTTAGAACAGTGTTAATGTTTATAACCAAAATATCTTGAAACGCAGACTTGCACTATTAGTACATAGGATTCCAGCAAAATTACAGCTTTCTTCATTAGAGTCTAGTAAATATGATGGTTTCTATGCCGTTTTTAGTTCCGTCTGCCAGGATTTGGGAAGCTGGGACAGCATACATGAAAAAGACTACTCTGTCCTTAACTACTCCTCACACTTTTTGTTTCAACTTCTGAGCATTTTCAGAGCCAGAATGACGTTCGAGATGTATTTTTGTCCTATCCCAGCAGGGCACAAAAGGCAGTTTCTATGACTCATCAATTTATTTTCCTAATGGAAAGATAAAGATGCCCTTACTCCTAGCTAAACGTTTAGCAATAAGCAAGGATGGCAATCTGCCATATTTTTACTGAGTTCTGCTGTTTCACTTGAGATGCTGTTTAATATTCTCATTTTCCTTTATTGCAGGATAACAACATTCAGATAATTGACTGTAAAAATCTAGAAAATTTTTGTATTCTCAGTCTTGATAAGAACCATCTTTCATCAGTTTGTGGTTTAGATGACTGCATAAATCTCCAAATTCTTGAACTTTCCTACAATAGAATCACTCGAATTGGTAAGAAAATCATTCCAATTTGTATAACAATATTTGTGCTGCTTAGATTCAGAATTATACTTCCCTTGAATTCAGAGTCAGTCAGCTGCTAAGCCCAAGGAGAGTGAGGATATGGACTTAGAACAGACCTGCATTTTAAACTATGCTCAACTTCACATTTATTTGCAGTCTGGCTTAGCTACTGCCAAGTATTCCATCCACCAGGTCATCCAACTATTGTCAACCAAAGAGTATTAATATGTTTCTGGAAAGGCCCCTAATATTGTCTGCACTAACTCATACAGAATATATGAGTAGTCTGAGTTCAGTTTATCTACAAAAATAATGAACGTAAAGCCTAGCCTTGCAACTGCAGACAATTCCAGTGTGTACCTGACTAACACAGTAAGTAGTTATATAGAGATTGTGTTGTCTGCCTGAGCCTGTTGGGCAACAGAAAAAATAATTTAAAACAAATATTAAGCTTATAGATGAAGCACAGTCACATAAGCCATTTATCTAAAGAAATGCTTTCCACTGTTAAAAAAAAAGAGCCTGAAACATTATTGACATAGATAATGCAATTCCTTGATAAATGACAAGGGCATCACAAACAGGAAGTTTGTGTAAAAAAACCCTGTAGATTTAGAGGCTTTAATGTTGATATTTTCTTTTTTTTTTTTTTTTGTTTGTTAATATGTGCAAATTTGGAATGTTCGTTTTTGTGAAGAGGGTTTTTAATACCTGAGAATAAGAGTGTTGGAATATCAATGTTCACTGTAAAAGCTCATCAGTACTATAAGGAGAAACAGTAAAATAAAATGGTTAAAGGAGCTTCATCTGTATCCTTGTGGCAAATAATGCTTATTCTTATTCAAATTTCTCTCATTTGAATATATGCAAGATTACTGTAAGAATGACATAGTATTAGTGGATGACATTTAAGAATGTGGCATCTGTTTCTACAGGCCAAGTGAAGTTAAATCCTCTTATACTTTCTCTTTTCTGCAGTGTGTGGCTTACAGTTACCGAGTCTCTAATGAATTTAAATGGGTAAATAAATGTTCACAAAATCATGGAATCTGTCTTTCTCCTCTCCAGAGCTGCTTTGAGATTGTTTGGTTAAAATAGATGCATAATACAGGATTTATTTTATACAACAGCATGTTAGCTGTGACTAGGTGCATAGAATACACAAAAATGGATTTATGGGTTTTAAAAATTGAGCACATCACTCTGACCTGTAAATCTTGCAGGATATCCCTTAGTAATTTTGGAAGCTGCAGTAATGTGCAGTAAGGCTTATTTATGTTTGTAATGCTTCTGTTTTAATAGCTTATTGTAGGAAACTTTGAGCATACTATGATTTCTCTTTTTATTTTTTCTCCTCTCATTGGAGTACAGCATCAGTAGGGGAAAAATTAGGGTTGCCAGAAAACCCTTAAAAATAGTGGCAAAAGAAATAAGTCTCAATTATGCTTTGCCGTTTAAGGATGCATGATCACAAATTAAGAAAATGTAACACTAATACACTGAAGTTCAGTGCATATGTTTGTATTTGGAAGATGAATGCTTTATTTAAAAAATTTCTTACACAATAAGTAACATCTTGACTCGAGTCATCGAATGTGCTTCGGTAGGGTGTCTGTATTCTAGAGCATGTGGCTGAAATCCTAGTGTCTTGAAGAACAGCAATGCATTGCCATGGATAGTCGTAAATGCTGTTTGGATCTACCCATTTTAAGAAAGCACATAGAGGATGTTGGGTTTTTCATCAGGCACCTTTCAGTTTTGCTTTTGTTGTCTGGAGATTTTTAGGTGTCCTTTTCATCTTTATGTTCACTGTGAGCTTTCCCTCTTTCATCATTCACCTTCTCACACACAGAAGTGACTTCAGAACTGCATCAATAGCTAAGATAGAGTCTCTAGCTAACACACTCCAGCTGCTCTTTGCAAATTGCTAAGAGCTACTTATATAAATGTTCTCCTCAAATCTTCTTGAAACTACATGTTTGTCAATAAAATGAATTTCCTATACTCTGCTGTAGCTGTTGTTCATTGCATCATAAGTAAAACAGTATCTTCTAGAAATATGCAGAAAGATTTCAGGCTTATATTTGATTTTGCATGTGGGCAGAAGAAACATTGAAATACCATCTGTTTGTATTCGATTATTCTCCCTTGTGTATATTGGTCTGCATCTGATAGTTCCAGAATAGATTGTGATTCTTTTGTATGTAGCCTTGACGTGTCTGTTCAAGTGATGTTTGGATGAGAAGGAGATGTAAAAACTGTGCTTTGTGCAGCATGCAGAATAGGAAATTTCCAGATCTTGTATTAATTGTTTCCTTTTTCTTACTGTGTGTGCAGTCTCTCCTCTCTGTTCTATTCCAGACTTGTACAGTGCTTTTAAAGTTTCCAGTACTGCTATGCTGGTAACTGAAAAGTGGAGAGGCTCTTGTCAGAAGTCTTAGGAGCTGTTAACTCTGAAATCGCTAGATGGTGCTAGTTCTTTTTTTTTTATTTTTCAAGTGTAAAGGAAAAATACAGACCAGGGTCAGGATAGTATGTCATGGACATGTTTCAAATTCTTTCAGAATAATTAAGGGTTTGTGTGTTTATTTCCTAAAGCACAGTTTTGAAGTTACAGTTTGGGACATTTGTGTTACATTTGGGATTATACCTCTGTAATATCAGACAATTGTGTTCTTTTCACTAGGTGCTTTCCATTTCTAAAATAATATGCTTCGAAGGCCTGTATTTGGGATTTTTTTAAATGCACTGCTAGTTTTAGTATTTAATTTTTAACTTTAGTTTTCTCCTTATCATTCATTTTCATTTTTAATTCCTCTTCTATATTCTTAATACTCTGTGGTGCAAACTGATCTCTGGTCTCATAATCCAGTTTATTCTTAGAGTGCAATCACAAAGAGATGTGCTGCTGTAAAGCTAACCCAGCTTCCTTTTGGCAACTTGGGAAGTTTTTGGTGAGAGAAAGATGAGACAAAGTATTGCCTCAAACAATCCTGTGAAGAATACATGAAAGAAAAGTAAATTTAGAAATTCCTTATTTTAAATATGTTTTGTAAAGTGTCTTTTCAAAGCAGTTATAGTACAGTGATACAGCAAAGCCACTTGGCCTTGTGAGCAAGTCAGCCCCATCAGTGCCATTGCAGAACATCTAGCATGTCTAAGACCATGGAAAGACAATGTCTTTTTTGCTATTGTAAGAGGATGATTTGGGTGAAATTCTGTGAAAGAAAGAGATGCTGATAAGAACCTTTTCTTTTGCATTTTTTTTACGGGTAGAGATTGCACATGTTCTCGCTCTTTAGACTGGCTAGCAGGAGTAAATTTGTTGAGAGAGTAATGGCTATAATAGTATAGCTTTAGTCTTAAAGGCACAAAATTTTCTGTATAAATTTCTTCAGTGAAAATATTTTATTACATAATTCCTTAAAAGAGATGGATTTAAATCATAGAGATGGTGCTGGCATAAGTTTTAACAAAGTTTCTTCTACCCTTGCTGAGAAGTTTCTTTAAAAAAAAGGTTAAAAAATTAAATAGTGAAAATTAGCTTTTAAACACGGTCTCTCAGCATTTCACAGAGCCCTTGGGTTCAGAGCAGTTACAAAGTGGTTAAAGCGCAGTAAGTATAGTTTTTTCACTGTAAGAATGTTCTCTTCCAACACAAGTAGTAAAGAGATTATGAACTGCTATTATTGTTTGGTTAACAGGATCAGAAATCTGTGAACTGTATTTGATAGGTCAAAATACAGTAATTCTTTTCAAACCTTATACAGAACTAATATTAATTGTTTCTACAGATAGTACACAGAAAATTCAGAGTTTCCTTAGTACTTAAAAGGCAACAGGTTTTTGTTTCATTCTAGCTGAAATCTTTCATTTTCAGGTGGACTGGAGTCACTGAAAAATCTTCAGCAATTAATTGTGGACCATAATCACTTAATCAGCACAAAAGGTCTTTGTGAGGCCCCTACTCTCATTCACCTAGACTCATACAAGTTCAAGGCATTGAGAATTGTGGCCTACTCCAAGTTCTGAAGTTGGAAGGCAATAATCTCCAGGAGGTAAAAGCTTTCAATTTAGTGGCTGTTGTGCATACATCTTTGTTATCACTCATATTTTTCAGCATTCTGATCATGTGCTCTTGGTTGTAAGATGTTTCATACTCTTAGGCAGGGTTTTTTCCCCCTTATTAGAGGGAGATTTTTCAAATATACAAATGGTTAGCAGTTAAGTATTTTCCTACTTGTAAGTCCTTGAAAAATTGCCTCCTCAGTAATTAAGTTTCCTCCTTCCTTTATAGTATCTAGTCTTCAGTTTATGTGATTCTAGTTTTAGTTTAGAAAGTGAAAAAAATTATTATTACATATAAGTAATTATAAGAATATTGTCAGTCTGCTAATAATCAGGCTGATTTGATGCATGTTGATCCTACAAAACTTAAAGTTTGTGCTGCAGCATTTGAAATAGGAAAATTGTTTGCTAACTGTATGCTTAGCCTTATTTACTGACAGTTATTCTCTTATGAATTCAAGAGAGGAAAACCATTGTCAATAAGCAGCAAATGAATGAATAAAATAAAATAGTAAGACTGTGACTCTCGGGCTCTTGACTTTTTTTATTTTATTTTATTAATTTATATTGGCTATTCAGACTAGGTAGAAGATCTTAAAAATGCTTACCACCTGATATATAGGTATTTTGTGTGACAGTTGGTACATATATAATGAGGAAATGATGCATATATCCAAAATGTGAGGTCTGCTTGTATTTAGTAATGATTTGTGAAAGGCATCTGGTAAGCATTCTGTTGTTTCTCTAATTTATATTAATTTTAAATAACCATCTCTTTTCTGTTTAGCTTCTAAGACTGGAATATCATGTTCTCCTAAGAGAACTATATTTGGATGTCAATAGCATTTCTGCTGTAAGAATGCTTTCTTCTTATTGGTTGCCTGTATTGCAGATTCTTTTGCTGTCTCTAAATGGATAAGCATGAAACACTCTTCCACTTCCAAAACTGATGCAAAGGAATTTACTAACATAATACTTGTCTGAAAAGTTTAGTTCTCAGTATGGTTGAAATCTCACAATTTTTTTGAGATATTCTTTGAAATTATGTGATTGGCAAGTAATTACATTGGCTACCTTTACCTAAGAAAATTTGAAACAGCATTAATTATGAAAAGTAATTTTTTACTACTGGATGTTATGAAAAAATAATTTTTTGAGCATTCTGGTATTATTAAAACCATGATGGGTTTTTTTCCTTTCTTTAGGAATTGTTTCTCAAGTATGTCTGTCAAACTTCATATTTCACAGCTAGCTTATTCAAAACAGACTTTGAAGGCTAAGTTAAGTACTAGAGTTAAAAAGGACAAATGAGAATGTTTCTTATTTTATATACATATGTTAGTGCCCTCCAAAACAAGCATATTTGCTTTAATTTTTCACTCTTACGGTTCAGTTTGAAAGGTATAAAATAACGAAGGATCAGGACAAGCAGCATAACACTAGATCATGCAATCAAGTGCTCTGTAATTAGATTTCTGTTCATTTTCTAAGCTAACCTGTACATATTTAGAGTTAGAATGACCAGATATCCAGGAGTCAGAATCTTATTTTCTCCATCCTCTTTTTCTCAATTTAAATTCTGCTAAAAAAACCCAAACCAAATATTTGTTATCATTTACAGTGTGTTAGTAGCAAATTGAACTTTAAATTAATATCAATTATTTTTTTTATGCTGTGATCATTTTGCTCTGAACTAGATTGAGCTCAGATAAACAGATAGAATGTAGTCTGTTACATGCAATATACAGAATATGCCCTTGGAACTAATCACTTTACTCTCCTGTTAGTGAAGAGGAGATGTTTATGAAGTATGATTTGTCTGCCAGTTTTAGCTGTTTGCTTTGAGACTAATCATGCCCCAGAAGGGCCTGTTCATCTTCATTGACTATTAACAGAGTCAAAATGACTAGGTCATACATAGGTGTCTGCATTTGAACAGATGAATCTCATCCTCTGTGACATTTAGCTCAGCAGAGTCAACTGCATCTGAGAGCCTGTGAGAGAAAATGTCTGTAAGACTGAGTTCTGTTATTATGGGCAATATCCTTCATGGAAAATTAAGTGTATGCATCCTATATTTTTATATAACTTTTCAGATTGTTTTTATATAATATCTAATGAAACAATATTCATGCAGACACTTGGATGTAAATATAACTCCTACAGAATCTAATCTTCAAGTTCCTGGGCTTGGGTTCAGGTTTGTTTTGTTTCTTATTATTTCTTCTCGAGTTTGGAGAAAAGTGCTTCCTGCCTGTGATTAACAAGAATATTATTTGTTAAGTGTTAGATTTTGAATGACACTTATTGATTCAATTCATGTTCTTTGCTTTTTTTTTCTTGTCCCATTTAGGGTTTTTTTTGTTGAACATACGGTAATGTGTCTCTGTGTTCCTGTAGTTTCCTCTTTTTTCTCTTGTGTAGCTGTCCTGTGTGTAATAAGTGTGCAAAACTCCTTAAGGTCTCATGTTCCTGCTAAGGACTGAGGAGCACAGTCTCAGGCATAGCTAAAATGCCTGTTCTGTTTTTCAAGTAGCCAAGCTGAGATTCAGTGTTTGGCCCACTGAGTTTCTACTGCTGGGCTGGGAGAAAGCACCTATTTTTGCATCAAAAACTGGATGTGCTGGAAATAAATACACACCTTCTTCCCAAACAATTCCCTTTCTTTTCTTGATGCATCTGTAGCTTATCTCAAATCTTTGTAACAAACAGGACAAGATAGCCTTAAATTCATATTAAAAGCCTCAAAATTCCTGGCATTTCAGTAGCCTGCTATGTTACACTCACTTTATGTACACTTATAAGCAGCTCCATATGTCTGTGCTATAGCATAAGTAACTTGATGTTCTATAGAAACAGTGAATGTAATGGAGTAAGCTGTTGAAAGAAAAGCTGTTTCTTTACTTTTATCTTACAGCTAGTGCAATTTTATGAATTTTTTCCAAGTGTGCACTGAGTGCCATTTCCTTTTTACGGATTGCAGGAAGCCCATATAATAGTAATGCTGTGAATCTGTATTCTTTCAAAAAGGGAAGTACTGTGAAAAGAAAATTCCTGCAATAATTTACAGGACTTTTTTATTCCTGAGATGCTTTGTCTGTATCATAAACCAGAAATTGTCAAAGAAAAAAAATAACTGTTTTAAATTGTTTTAAAGCTACAGTCTAACAAGGAATTAAAAATGGTAATGATTAACTTGTTCAAATATAAAAATGACAGCTATTTCACCTCTGCTGCTTTTATTCAGTCTTTTATTGTGGCTTTCACATACAAAGCATATTCTTGATCAATGTGCAGTTGACCAAAGACAATGATGAATATCCTCTTGACTTGGTTACTGCAGAATTGCATCTATGAAGATCCTTGCTCTGTTTTGTAGCAGCTGGAGAGCACAACTAAGTTAGTTTTAAAAAGACACCTTTTCTTCTGTTGTGGATAAAGATTTAGGTGTAGGAGAGAAAAACCTTGTCTCTGGGACAAAACCCAATACATATTTGATATATGTGAAGAGTTCATGTGGCATTTATATTTACATGTAATCCCACTTATTTATGTAGCTTTACTTGTTAATGTCTTTTTCAGTTAAAGGTTTTACAGTGAGACAGTAAATCAATGTGCTGTTCAGGTAGCCTTCTTTTTTCAGCTTCAAAATAGACAAATCTATCTCTCTTAACATTTCTGGTTTAATGTGGCATTACCATGACAGAGTTCTTTTGGTTTTGCTATCTCTTGCTTTTTGTTAAGATAACCCAAGTGAGATAGATAAAAACTTAATATTTAAAAAATGCAGACAGATGCAAAAATTCTTCTCTTTTTGGAAACTGGTTTGGTCAGAATCAAATTCATTGTGAACATGCTGCTCCCATGTTTTTGCATCTAGATGCATACTGTTCCTAAAGGGCCTATTTTAGAAATGCTAAATGTCAGTTCAATCCTTTCTTAGCACATGTTGTTCTCTCTACTTAAATATATATGGTATCTGTGTTTTTAACCTAATTTCTCAGATGCAAGAGTTGAACTCACTCTCTTTGCAAGCCATGATGTTTTGAGAATTTGAGCACTTTTCCAGAGTCATCATAATAAATCTAAATGTCATTGGATGTTCAAGTAAGTCAGTCATGAAATAGCTATCCTCGCATATAGTGTTTTTCCCCTCCTATCCTTACTATTCTAGATTTTTTAAAATCACTTTCAGTAATTCTTTGTTGGTGATAAGTTTAACTATGTGACATCATGGGTAATATACTTGAAGTACTGCCTGCCGAAGTATTCAAGAAGCAAGTGGCTCACTGACAGATTTCCTGCATTCTGTGTGATTGTTACTCATAAATGTGGTGAATATTGCAAACTAAAGTATTTCTAATTTTAAGGAATGAGAAAGAAATATGGACTTTAAATAAAAGTCTAGATTAAGATAAATTTATTTGAATTATTTTGCCCTCATTCCTGCACTGCTAACTGTAGCATCAATGATAATTCTTCTGAGGAAACTCAGATGCACAGCAGGATTTAGATCATCTTGAGCAGTAACTTCTATATGTGTTCAGAAAATCAGTCTTTCTTTCCTCTGATGCATACTTGCAACTATTCTTAAATCTTGTTTTCTGACATAGAGTTTATGTGGTTGTGACCTGTTCTGCTACAACCTTAAATGGGAGCAGAAAGAGGAAGCTTAATTCTTCTGAGGAAACTCAGATGCACAGCAGGATTTAGATCATCTTGAGCAGTAACTTCTATATGTGTTCAGAAAATCAGTCTTTCTTTCCTCTGATGCATACTTGCAACTATTCTTAAATCTTGTTTTCTGACATAGAGTTTATGTGGTTGTGACCTGTTCTGCTACAACCTTAAATGGGAGCAGAAAGAGGAAGCTATAGCTTGCTTTTTTGTGAATATCTTTTACTTTTGTGTCTTCTTTGTAATTTATATCTCTCTTATGCCAGGGGCTAATGTGACAAGGTCAAGTAGTATTAAGTTTTCAGTAATGTCCTTTGTCTTTCTGGTTTGAATTTTCTTAGGAAAAAAATTAACAAAGAATGTCAGTAAAGGGAAAGCTATAGAATGTCGAGGAAACATTTTAACTCTCATAATGCCAACGGCAGGCAAGAACAGGCCAGTAGACAATTTCTAATTCACCACAGCATATACAGATAAAGATCCAGAGAATTTGCTTGCTAGAAATAATAACCCCTGCATTACGTTTTGTCCCTTATGCAAAATATGATGTTTATTTTCCGAGATATTTCTGTTTGAACCTATTGTTTGAATCATGGATTTTCAGTTTCTGCAGCCATACTGTTAGCCAATAATATCTACTGTTTGTTAGAAATATGAAATGTAGTTATGTACTGTTGACAGATCATGAGAAACTAAAATGCTGATACTTATAGTACACATTTACATACAAGGCTTAATGATTTTTAGAGTTAATTCTTCTTCATATTTATTTGATAACGTGGAAATCTTCCATGGCAGGAAGGTATTAGGACTAAGTAGAACTAGAACTAGGACAACTTGGCAATGTAGTTTGAGAAAGAAATGGAAATATAGTGACACATACTCGATTGTCTTTATATCTGTTTCTCTGAATTTACTCTTTAAATGTTACGGTGTTGTATAGAAATACTTGTAAACTGAATAGGGAAATTATTTTAGTTTTTTTCTGTTTTGCCATTGGTCATATTTTCAATAAGATTAAAATATCTACAACTAATATTTTCCCCATAATTAGTGTACCAGACTAAAACTCAACTTTGTCTTTCAGTTATAAAACCTGTGCTGGAAACACAACATAGTCACACATTTCAGCAATAAATAAGCATTTTTGGCTCTGAACAATTTTATGTTTATGGAGTGAGTGGGGGTTTTTTTGGTTCTGTTTTTTTTTTTTTTTGTCTGGTCATGTTTCTGACATACCTATCAAAGGCACTACACCCTCAGAAAATATTGCTGTCTGTGAAAATTAGCCGTTGCAAACTGGCCCCACACATTGCCATTCTCTCTCTATGCTAGGGCCTTGTCCTTACAGGGATGAAACAAGTTACCTAAACATGTATTTCTTTAAAAAAGATATAGTTAATGTAGTATATGTGCTTACACATAAACATTCTAGTTTTAGTTGATGATTGGAGTTTTTTGCATCTCATTATTTTCCTCCCTCTTTCATATTTAATGCAAAATAGAATGAACTTTAATGTGGAAGGTAATATTTGGCAATAGCCTGTCAGCTGACTGAACCGTGGATGTTTGTCCTTTAGTAGTAGCAATAAGACATATCTTACAGTCCAAAATCCTTTGTGCAAATGAATGTCAGCTCAACATCTTTGCATTTAATCTTCAATACTGCAAATAAGAATCTTTTCCTGTCGTTAGTACTTCTTTGCTGCTTTATAGCACAAGAAAATCTCTGATATGCAAGAAGAGCAGTTCCCTAACTGTCTGTATAATCAACACCTATGTGACACCATCTTAGAGAAATAGTAAGAAGGAGAAAGGACTAAAAGTGTATTGCAGAACACTGCAGCCTTGACCTGTTCAGAAATACAACTATAACAACGATTAAGTTAGTTTTAGGATCTAGGAAGTAATGTGCTGAGTGGAGAAGAGAAACAAGCTGATAAGAGGGTTGAGCACTGAGAAAGGAAGGAAGAGAGAAGCAGACAAACAGGTTTTATTTGTACTCCAGAATCAGGGCCTTCTGTTAGTTTCATTCTAGTTATGGTGCCTAAAGGAAAGCTAATTGAGATGTGCAAATTTTACAAGGCTTAGATCTTCAGTACTCAATGCAAGAAACAGAATGAAATGCTTACCAGATAAAGCATAACATTAATGAGTAAATATTAAAGACTGAGCTACTGAGAAGACTGACAAATACTTCCAAGTTAAAATTTCCGTAAGGGGTTCTAGCACCTTGGATAGCTAAATAAGCATTTTCTGATGTAAATAAGTCAATTGCCATATAATTGTAGAAGGTTCTGGTGCCTTTCTGTTTATGAGCTGCTGTTTGATCTAATTTAAAAAAATTTTCTGTTATATTTTTAGATAACTGAGTTTGTGCCTTTAAATTCTTTTGTATCTTTGGAAAGGCTGGATATCAAATATAACTGCTTGTCAGGTGAGTTGTGTAAAAAAATATAAAGCCCCATCCAAAGAAGAACTTCTTAATTAAATTATAAAGTGATTTGAATGGGATTGTTTGCATGTGTTTATAAGAGACATTTACACAGAAAACATACAAATATTTTCCAAGCTAGAATGTTATGTATATTAATTATTACTATACTGTAGAGGTAGCAGTATAGCTTTTATGACTTTGTGGTGTCAGTATGTTTTACTTTCATGTAAGATTTTATGAGAAGTAATATAGTTCTGCATTCAAATTTATATTTAGTTTTCTTCCTACTAAAATAGAGACCTTAAAGATGTCCTTACATGGTTAAGTGGCTGTCATAAACTAAAGGAGTTGTCAATCAGTGGAAATCCTTTTCTCCAAGAAAGAAACTGGAGGTAAGAAAATAAACTATTTTTCTAAACCAGAAAATCAAAATCAACCAAAAAATTGGTGTATATACCTTAGTAATATAGTAGAAACACTATCACACTATATGAACCATATTGCTGTTGTGACGGGTTCGCACTGCACATAGCTAGAGAAGGGGAAGTGTCTATAATAAATGTATGAAGGAATCCTTGAAAGCATCTTTTAAAGGAAAATAATTAGGCTAAGAAATACCAGAAGAAATGGTTGATATTTCCTTAGTAGTTGAAGATTAGCCTTTTTCTTGTTCTTAGAATTCCTTATCTTAACATCAAAAATTAATAGCTCTTATAATTATGAAGAGATGTAAAAGCAATGCTGTTCTTTGCCCTTCAGTGGTGTACAATGCTGAAATAAAGATCCGGAAAAAATCCAAGAGCTGGTCCTAGAGACTATGATATGTATATAAAAATGGATAGGGTAGAAAGGAAGCATGACATATGAAATGATATGCAGTTACCAGACTCTCTGAAATGAATAGTTATGATACGATTGTAAACCATAGGAATAAAATTGTACATGGATAGGGTTTTTATATATTGTTTTGTATGTTAGACACAGTATACTCGAGTTGTGCCCTCATCAGTGTCAAGTGCAGGGGGACGATCACTGCCTTAGTCCTACTGGCACTATCTTTGATATACATCAAGATGCCATTGGCCTTCTTGACCACCTGAGCACACTGCTGGCTCATGTTCAGCCATTTGTTGACCAGCACTTCCATGTTGTTTTCCACTGTGCTGATTCCCAAACCACTCTTCCCTCAGCCTGTAGCACTGCATGGGGTTGTTGTGACCCAAGTGTAGGACGTGGCACTTAGCCTCATTGAACTTGATACCATTGGCCTTGGCCCACTGATCCAACCTGTCCAGATTCTTCTGCAGAGCCCTCCTACCCTTCAGCAGATCAATGCTTGCACTCAACTTAGTATCATCTGTGAACTCACTGAGGGTATGCGTGATCCTCTCATCCAGATCATCAATAAAGATATTAAACAGGACTGGTGCCAATACTGAGCTTTGGGAAACCCCACTAGTGACTGGCTGCCAACTGGATGTAGCACCAGTCACCAGTATAAGTCCCCTGGTTTCTTAAGAATTCCGTGATCGGAAACCCCATACGTGGGCCAGTGTCATTAAGACTTAAATCTGTCTGAGAGAATTGCTCAGCAAAAGTACAGTAATGTTTTTAATTTAATGTGTTCTTTCATCTTCCTTAGAATTACTACTTTCTAGTCCACAGCCTTCAAGAACTGAATTACAAGTTGGAAATGCAATTTTAGACTTTTAGGTGATGTTCCAGAATATATGTAATGTGTTAAAATGGTAGAGTGTCTACTAGTGAGCTCTGACTATAAATCCATTAAATGTACAAAGAAGCATTTAATCAGTAAGAATTTAAATCATTACCAATTCTTTCGGCTAAGGAAATCAAGTATTTACCTAGGAAAGTGTTAACATAATAAGATGTCTGAGAAAATGAAATGAGACACAGCAGTTGGACTTTAATTATGGATTTAGTGTAGAAGTGACAGATTCTTTAATTAGAAAAATACGAATTTTTTTAAGCTTAGCAACTTGGACGTATCAACAAAATTGTTGTATGATTTCAAGTCAGTTAAAGGTGAGGCTTAACACTGCAATGATGCACAAGAATGTTAAGTTAAATTCTTTTCACATGTGCTATATTAGATTGCCTAGTGTAACAAAATAATTTGGAGTATGTGTGTTTTGGAGGGTGTGTTGTATTAAGAGAAAAAAAATCCAACAAAAACCACCCTTACATTTATATCATACATTTGAAGATTTTTGGTACAAATTTATGATTAGCATTCCAGTGGGCAAAAAAACCTATTTGAAACTTTTAGTTGGAAATGTTTATGTAGTTTGAAAGATAGCTGTACAAATATGTTCTTGGTTGGTTTGTTTGTTTTTAATGGACAGAATTATTTGCACTCTCATGGTTCCTGCAGGTAATTTGGTTAATAAAACTTAGTGATTGTGACAATATTTTAAATTCTCATTTGCATTGTTTTAGTTATCTCTGTTTTACAGAACTGTTATTTCACTTGTAACCTGGAGGGGAAAGCTTTCTGAATTTCAATTTAACTATAAGAACTGACACTTTAGATTGCTTGACCCAATAGAACTTTTATGATTAGACAAGAGATTCATTTGTCTAAAGGATTTAAAGTATGGAATACTATAAAATATGGATTTGCTGAATACAGCATTGACTGTAACTTCAGGCAATATGTTCCAGTGAACTTTACATAACCCCTTGATACCAACAAAGGAATTAGTTGTAAAATTTCCCGATTGGTTTTGTACTTTCATGTCCAGCCAGCTATAACACCAACAAAAGTGAAGTAGTAAGAAATTGCTTTTTAAAAATTAAACCCTGGGATCAGTCTAAGCACTCCTAAGGGAATATGTTTCAATGCTGTAATGATTAATAGTGCCTCTTAAGTGACAGAATATTCACCAGGAAGTTTTCACTAAATGAAATATTGACTCAGCCCTTCACCAGGAGAAACCCAGCTGGAAAAACTAGTGTCGAGATCCCATCGGTCTAAGACACAGCATTGATCAACTTTGATATGGCACTTTTTTGGTGTATCACTATTCAACATCAGCTTTGGTATTTCTCTCTCTGTGTTCAAGAACAGTTGATCTAAACCCATCATTTTATTCCAAGTGTGTTTCAGACAGTGCTAATCTTCATTAATGGGCAGTAGAGAAGGAAAGTTTTCTATTTGCAAAAAAACCTTCTATTCTATTGAGCTATTTGGAATATTATAACTCAAGTCATAGAAACTTTCTCTGATTTTAAACTTAGTATATGTTGTCTAGCAGAGTAGTAGTCCCTTACCGTCAGAGGGAATAGTCAGGGGGTTCTAAAATTCTGAAACCAATATTATCTTTTTTAATAATAGTAGGATTTACTGCCTACAATAAGTATTCTTTCAAGAGTTCTTAAGTGTTGCTTAAAAAAACTGACTTGATGAAAATATTGAGTGTTGATGTATTGATTTAAATAGTTTTGCAGTCTTTAAACTTTCAACAAATCTGGCATGGTATAAGAAATACGTGAAACAAAGATGCAGTGCTGGTTACATTTCACAATAACCTAAACCAGACTGCATTGATGAAGCTATTTTTTTTATTGTTAGATAAGTTTCTCATTCATATTTTTGCTTACCTCAGTGGCTCCAACTGTCCTTTTTATGACAAGGAAATGTCATCTCTACTGTCATTCCTTTCACTGACCCAAAGTCAATATTTCAAAAGTGGACTTTTTTCCCTGTCATTTGTACTGTATATCATGTGGTATACACAGATGGTAAAGGGTGTAGAATCGACAAGGTCTAGTATTTTGTGCAGTTTTTAAATTTCAATCTTTTGATGTGTCAACAAAATCAGTGCTGCATCTTAATCTTATGACATAGTTTGCTGTGTTGCCTGCTAATCAAATGCATTACAGATGCCTATGCACAAGTGTGTAAAATTTTCCTGGTAAGGTTCGTGTAGGTAAAATTCTAGCTCTAGTGAGTTGAGAGTGTTGCCACTGACCTTCCTGGTGTCAGTATTTCAGCAGTGTTCTTTATACAAGCAAAGTATTAAGAAGTCTTGCTGTGCTCTGCATTTTATTCTGAGTTCTGTGTCTTATTAAGTATGCAGAGAGAACTATTTTCATGTACTGTCTTACATGATTGTATCCGTAAGATTAGTGTTTTAGCATAAGGATTTTTTTCCTAATACTAACTATAACTTTTTTTCCTAAGGTCTTCCTTGTGTAAGATCCTTCCTAGTTTACAGTTTCTTGACGGTGAAATCTTAACCTATCAAACTTTACCCACAACTGAAAAAAATGAAAGAATCAGAATTAAGAACTTTTCTGGAAATTTGTCAAGTGCAAATGAAAGAATATATTAAACTGAAAAAAAGGCTTCTGAATTGGAGTATGTATATGTGAATATAAATTGCATTCATAAATACATTTTCATGTATTGCTAGTGAAGTTCTTTCTGTCTTATCAATTTTATTTATCTTTTTTTGCCTGGAAATATATTATGTTAAGAAAGAGATTAGAATCATTGACTTCAGTGCAAAGTCTGTTTCAGACAGGTATTCAAATAGGTGGGCCTTGACTTTTGTTTCATTAATTTTGAGAAAACAGGTGGTCCAAAACCTATAGTTAGTAGTAACTGAATGAATTCATAGAAAGAACATAGTACCATGGTATGCAGGAATAGTTGGTTAAATCCTGAAGGTTGTATAACAACATGATGTCCAGCTTTACCTTACATCTGGTTTGGCTGCTGATGCAATATGCTCTATTTCTTTCCGAATTTGTTTTCCATGTGTATATTATTCACATTCTAAATAATTGCAAAAGAGTTGACCTTTTTTCTCTTAAGGTAACAGATCAGATGGAGCTGTTTACAGGTCTTTGATTTTGTCATACTTACTACCTTTATCATTACTGATATGATTAGTTGTCCAGTGAATTCAGCATAGACCATGCAAGTGGTAATTTGTCATTTATACCTGCCACCTTTTAATTGCTTTGTAATATCTAACTAGCTCAAACTTCATATATTTCTGCACTTGGTAATATTGCATGTTTTTTTTCTTTCATAGTTCCTTTTCATCTCCTAACAGGTTCACAATATCATTTTAGTCTTTCTAATATACAGCTTGTCCTGCTGATGTTCAGAAATATAGTTTTCTTGATTCTGCCAGGTACTGAACATTATTCCAGAGCAGGTGGTGCATGTGACATTTGACAGTGCTTTAGTCTGAACTTCTTGCATACTTTGTTGGTTCAGGAAGAGTACCCACATTTTTTTCAGGATCTAGCTGTTTATTCTGTTACTACCTAACAGGTTATTACATTGGTGTATTATTGAATTTTACTAAGCTGCAATAAATCTTCATAGCTCACAAACCAGACTAATTGGAGAAGAAGTTCACATTAAGAATTTAATTGAAATTAGTTTGGGACACATTATATAGTGCAGTTTTCTATGACAGATATAATGTGTAGGTGGCTTCTAAGACTCATGTGTCTGGACTAGAGATCTCCTGAGCTTTCTTCAATTAAGAATTTTTCTATGATTCTGTGTAAATTTTGTTTGAAAGAGCCTGCAGATGTTTGAGAAGAACAGGACTGGAAAGAGGAGATTTGTGTAAACATCTCTTCTTGCCTGAATGTGTGGTTGGGGTGGGGAAGAGAGAGCTAGGAGGGGGAGAAGGAGGGATTGTAGGGGGGTTAATATTTTGAGAATTCATTCACAATCTTTTAAATTGGTAACTTTGACATGACTGAAGCATCTTGTATCAAATTTAGTCTTAAAATGAATTTCTTGTGTGTTAAAGCCCTCTATGTATTATTTAGACTCAAGTACAATTTGTGGATGATTTGAAAACCATTGAAAACTGCAGTTCATAAAAAGAACTCTAAACAATTTGTTTGTATATAAGCCTTAACAGCATAGCTATTATATGTACATATTGCAATACTTTGACTGAATTAATGTGACATTGCTAAAGAACAGGCCAACAATAGAGCAAACTTCTGTCTGTTTCACATATTCTTAAGTTATGAGCCCCTGTAGGTGCGACCTCAAGTATGTAAGCTGCCAAAAGTAATCACTGCTTTCTTCCCTAATCCATGTTTCATACACCACTGCTGCCCAGTTACATTCTTTGTGCTGTTTCTGCCTGTAACTTCGCTGTTGTTGCCATGATCAAGAATAGAACATATTTTAAAATTGAATTTTTCTATTCTAATAAATGCTTTCTGTCACATAATTTTCAGTTGACTTGTAATGAGTAATCATATAAAAATAATAGGACATCTTGGCTGCAGCAATTTGCTTTCACTCATCAGATATGCAGATGTCTTGCTAATGGAACTTTATAAGTACTTTATGTATAATACAGTGAAAGTGACAGGAATTTCATAAATGTTATTGCAAGAAGAGAATATGTAAGCAGTGACCTCTTCATGCCTTTGGAAGGGACTTTGGTAAGCTGCACTTAACATCAGTAATGATGTTTATGGAAGTTTCCTTGAAGACAAATTAGATTTTACCACACTATTACAAACAAAAACTCACATGAATTGTGGTATACTGTTTGAATATTCCATGTATCATAACTAGGAAAATCACAGTAAAGCCACAAAGGGAAAAACATGATAGTAAGGAAAACTTTGACTAGCACACAAAGGGGTAGAGTATTATTTATGATTTTACAGCAATGGTGAGGAGATAACTGCTATTGCTGATTAGAACTGTCCTGTTTGTCCACAGTCCCTTTTGCCTCTGAGAGATTTGTTCTGCTGACTTTTCCAGACTTACTGTCTCATTCTGACAAAATTGAATTCTTTGAATAACCTGGCAGTTATTGCAGATGCAATTGCAGTAGGAGATTCTATACAAAATGTGTCAGCTCTGTAAGCAAGATTCTGCCACCACCTTGAACTTTCTAAGTAGCAATATTTTGGGTGATTTAGACTCCACTGAAAGGCCTTTTAGGGTGAATAACTTATCCTTTTCCATATCTGTTAAGGCAGCCTGTGCATGGATCCTTATGCCTCCCTAGGTGGTGCCAGTGGGGGTTTACTCTTTCCTTTCCTCCCTCCCCAAACACTGCATGTGAAACTGAGCAGGGTTTGGACTAAATTAACCAAGACAGTGATGGATACTCTATGTGGATTGATGTGAGGACTCAAGTTGTAGCAGTCATTAATACATGCCTGACTTGAATTTCCAGTTAGATTAAAATCTGATTCTAATGCTTTTATCTTTCCTCAAAGCCCCTGGAAAATCCTAGCACAAATGGAGAGGTATCTATTTGGTTAAAAAAAGCTGCAGGTTGCTTTGTGCTCTTAGCCTTTGTTTGTGAAAATAACGTCTGGGTCTTTAGGTACTATCAGGGCCACTATTCTAGCACATTTGTACATTGCTACAATCTCTTCTTCTGACTTATTACCCCTTTCTAATACTGCCACAGAAGTACACCCTTAGTGGCTATGTAAGATTTACATACGGCAAAAATTACTTTCACTTGTTAAGAAGAAAATAATGTTGTGGGTAGCCAGGCAGCCGTTGAACATGAAGGAATGCACTGTTTTTATGGCTGGAAGCCATAAAAAGTTTGCTGTAGCAAGACCACTGTATTCATCTACATTTTATTACATACTAAGCAGCCAGACACTATGGATACTGGTGCTTCCACAGGATATTTCCATTTCTTGTTTTGTCTAGATGCTAATTTATGCTTAAGACCTTGGTCATGTCTTAACCAAGAAGTAATTCTGGAAGATTTAGTGTGACCAGATCCCTTGACCTATAATACTGGAAAAGGTCTGAAAGGCAAATGACCAATTTACATTAACTGAAAAGGAAATATTGTGGTATCAAAAGTCTTATTAATGCCATATTTCTTACTTTGTCTTCTTTCTTTTCTTGTATGTGTTGTTTCTATTAAAGTAGTAAACCAGTCCTGCATATTTTCCATTTTCTGTGTTTTGAACAAGCAGTCTTCAGGAGCATGTCTCTGGTATCCAGAATGCAGTCCTATTGAGACACTGTTGATAAAGCCACAGTGCATTGGTAGGATACCCAAAATCCATACTCAGGCCCCATCTTAATATATGTTTGTGCTTTGGAGGTTCACCACACCATTTCATTGCTCATAATCCTCTGGGATGTCACCACAGCATCCTTTGTAGTTTCTGGAAACTTAAACTGATCTGACTGCCTAAAAGGAAAGCCATTGATACAGAGGGCAGCCTGAAAATCCTACAAAATCAAAGTATAGGTGTGGATTGCCAGGGAATGTATCAGTGGGAAATAGGGTGCATGCCCACAGCAACAAGACTCTATTTTGCAACCACTGATCGGAAAAGCTGCCCAAAGAGCAGGCCCTGTGAAAAAAAAAAAAAGAAATATATGATCCCTATTACCACAAAATCACTTACTCCCTGTCAGAATTTGCAATTCCCTTCAACCTCCCATTTCCGCTTGACACATTTGTAGCCACTGGAAGGGTGAAATGGCTGCTTGAGATACCCCTGCACCTGTCAAAGGAGAGGATGCAGAAGTACCCTACTCAGTTCAGTGTTATGGTGGTTTGTTTTTATCTTTCTTGCTGTTTTGGGGATTTTTTGAAAATGAACCAGGATACACAGGATATGCTTTTCACACAGGAGCTTATTTTGCCCAATATATAAAACATTCTGGGTTTTTCTGCAATATTTTGATTTTTCAAGAAACAAAGAAAGAAAAGGGGAACAAAAGGTGGAAATTATTTTGGAGCTTTTTTATTATTTTTTTCTTTTGTCTTCATACAGTATTTTTCTTTTTGTCGAAATTTGGTACTGATCTTGTACCACATTTATATTTTTTAATAGTTCAACTAATTTAAAGTATTTAACTGAAGTTTTTAACTAATACTTTAAGTAGTTCCTGTTCACAAAATTGCTAATATTTCTGTATAGTATGTTAGATCCACAAGCAAATATATACATTGGTTAAAATATTTTTAGAAATTGTCCTATTTGTGGAACTAACAGGAGTAGGAGTAATATTGTGTAATGGACAATCAAATGAACAGCTGTTGCACAGTGAATTGTGTACTTAAACTGTGTTGGATTTGGCTTCATATTCAGCCATTCAGATTTTGTCCAATAGCACTGAAGTTGCACTAGCAGAGGAAGAGTTGGAATCTTTTATACTCTTGTAAAATCTGATTCTGTATGTTTTTAAAAATATAAAAAATTCTCATTTGAACTTCACTAGGGGATATAATTATAATGGTAAACAATCTTTTCCCAATAAAACCTTATAAAAGCTTCACCTTTGTCAATGATGAACAGGAAGTAAAATTCTATTATTCTAACTGTTATCTTAAGACCTGATTTTTCCAGACTCATAGGAAGACCGATCTTATTTCTACTTTTTCTCTTGGATTGCTGACCTAAAATGGATTTTGTGCTCCTCTGAAATTAATACCTGATTACAGACCTCTGCATGTATCTGTGCTATTAAAGTAAAATATAAATGATAAAATATAAATGATTCCAGAAGTCCCTGCTACCTAATACAATGGGCAAACACCATCCAAAGTACAGACAGCATTCGGAATCTGTAACAATTAGTTCATATTGCTCTTATTCATTCTCATCATGCTTTCCTAAATTCTATCTAGAGATCGTGGTTTGTTGGTTTGAATCTGTTTGAGTTTTATTGCTTTAGTTCTTATCAAAATTTCAAAATTACTGTTGTTTTTATATTAGCTTTCAGAGTTTCCAGATAAAATTAGGTTATTAAGGCAATTATGGGATTTACAACAAAATTGCCTCAAATCCTCTAAAAGTTTTGGCATCATATACCACTAACCATACAGAAAATTAATAGTAAAATGCATGACCTAGTGCTATTTTAAAAAGTATGAAAACCTTTTTTTTAAAAAAGGTCAGAGTAAAATAAGAAATCTAGGTAGCTGTATTTAAATATGTCAAAAAGAAAGGAAAAATGCAATTAATGTTTATAAATACTGAAACTGGGTTGGGTTTGAATCAGAGTAATTACTATAGGAATATGGAAACATGTAAGGATACTTGAAAATGCAAGGTATTTTACAGAATAATAGACGTAATGTATTTTTAAAAAAGCATTCTTACAGTCCAAAACATATCAAAACTTTTTTTGCCTTATTTTCAGAATTGCCTCTTCTATTGATTCTGCACAAGGACAGTGCTGGTATTTTAATCAGTTGATGAAACGTAGTATTAAACATGGATACGCACATAAGTACAGTGAACTAAACATTACTGACAGAGGTGGACCAGAAGCACTTCAAAATCATTTAAAGCAAACAGCCACTGGCTGCCTACAGAAAAATAACCTCTTTATCATGGGTGCGACAGAAAATAAACAGGTCTTGTTGGATCTTTCCAAAAGATGGATTACTACTGGCGATATTCAGGCCACATTCGTTAACTCCTCCATACCTGTGCACCAAAAGGAAAATAGAGAAGATCAGAGAGTAAAGCAGAAGAGCACTGAATCTTGTATTAATTACAGTGGGGCAAGCAAAGGCAACAATAACACGTCAGCCCACCTCGCACTGCAGCAGTCAGTGATAGTAGCAAGTAATATGGGGAGAAATCTTCAGCAGTTTGAGAATGATACAGAAAGGTAAGACATCTGTCAGATTGCTTTTGAATAGATTATTTGGGTGGACAGTAGGAGTAAGGATTTCTTGTTTAAAAAAAAGGCACAGAACTTGAAAAAATATTTTTAAGCTTATTAGGCAAAGAGTTCTATTAAGGTGTTGCACACTAGACTTCCATATTAACAACAATCCTGTTAGTTGGTATGTTAAAATATAGATATGTAACTACTGCAAATAATTTTAAAATACTGTACGTAAGAGAATTAAAAACCTTTCTCTTGGTCTCTATAGTTTCTTTCTTTCTTTTTTTTGCGATAAGGTTAGGACACCCGTTCAATGACACATACAGTGTTAGGAATGCATATGCTGGATGTTTTGCAGGAACTTTGGGGCAGTTTAACTACAATGGAGTGTAAGGCTTTTTTGCTAGACTGTTCATTAGACATTCAAGATTCTCCTGTGTAGACTTTACACTCAGTACCATTCTGAAGGCAAGAGGGAAAAGTTCCTTCAATCTGCCATCCTACTCCCTTGACCTTAGACAAATCTTTTGCTGTTGTGATGACTGAAGGCCTGCCCTGCTTTTGGTACTCCTCCAGCATGCCTTAAACCTGCTTCTTAAAAGTAGGGGCAGGGGTGACAGGCCAGTTCAACTTTTTCTGTGCCCCCAAATTTTCTCCTGCATGAAACAGACTGGTTTATTACCTCTTTGGAATGCATTTGCTGCTGGTTTGTAGGGTTCTGGATATATAGTCAAAGAAAACAGAACGTGATTGTTTTTGTTGTAAAAGGACAAGAATTCAGTTATGATTTCATAAAAATTGAGTTTCAAAAATAGGTGTCTTGAGAATGCTGAGAAGCAGGCTTGGTGGGTGTGCTTCTTTGTGCTGTTTAGACTTAGGGTAAGTGGGCAGTAGCACTTAGTAGGTACTTAAAACACTAATAATTTGTCATAAAATTTATTATGCAGGAAGACTGCAATTCATTATTACCTCTCAGCAAGCAGAAAGCAAGAGTACAGTAGCCTACTGCAGAAGATGGATGCTTAAAAATTACTTTTTTAATACTAAATTTAGCTTTTAGTTAATATTTTAAATGTATTATCTAAGTCTGGTTTTGGAGAATTTTGTTCAAAACAATGCAAACCATTAGAGGGGTATTTTTGTGGGTTTTTGTGGTTTGCTTTTTTTAATTCAGCTACTGCTTTTTACAGATGCAAAGTTTATTTTTGGGGATTTGTAAACTTGTACACATTTTAGGAAAAATATATTCTGCCTCAACCTCTGATGTGTGTTGTTTGGGTTTTTTTGATTGGTTGGTTGGCTATTTTTTGGTGTATAGTACTCCACTATTTAAATAGATGCACTGCACAAGGAAAGAAATTATAAAAAGCTTGGGGAAAATTTAAATGTCTTTTCTTTAGTCCACTGTCCAATTGAAATGAGTATTTTGTGGAGAAAAGGATTCCAAGATAGTAAAGGTAGTAAATTCATAATGCAAATCAGACATTAAACCTTTTCTCCATCAGTATAAATTAGTTGAACATATACTGAGAAATTTCTATCACCTAACAAATCTAAATAGTTATAATCAGTGCTTGGTTAAAAAATGAGCAAATTAGAAAATGTACACATACAAACAGTGGTTGTTGGTCTCAAAGGATAAAAGCAGGCAAAAGATGAAATTGCACTTTGGTTTTCCTGTGTGCTCCATTGGAAATATCTGTCTCATGCAGTCTTCAGCATTTATGTCTCTTTAGTGTTTGGTGGGGTTTTTTTAAATTTAGTTTTTGTTGTTATATGGGCAGTGGAAATAACTGGACCTCTCCAGCAGTTTATTCAGTCATTAGGACCCTCTGTCCTAATCCTTCCTTTGAGGACTCTTCTTCTCCAGTGAATCTACATGGAACAGAGTGCAGCAGAGGCTAGTCCTCTTAGATAACTGGATTTCAGAAACAATGTGATGTGAATATCCTCCAGTGTTTCTGAACGTATATGTCACATCTGGATTGTCATTTGCTGTTTAGTGGCAGAGCTTTTCATTTGTCTCAATGCACAGTGCAGTTTTATGGTTGCAGTTTGGTAGATAGGATAATCCAGTTGTACTGGTAAGGCGATGCCATTTGTAAAGGTATTTATTTCTCTATGAGAATGCATATGGCAGCATCAGTGATCCAGTCCTTTTGGCGGCAGTACAATGCTCGGAGGAAAAATGAGTGCAACAAAACAGAGAATCATCAGTTTACAGAAGCTTTGATACAGAAGCATGAAGCTGCCACACTAATCCAGGTTGGTTTATGGTATTCTCTTCACTTATTTTGCAAATTTAATAAGAAAAAAATCTTACTCATTTTGTGCACTGGTCATCTATCTTTGTTTAGGATTTTATTAAGTTTCATGATTAAACATTTTTTGTTTTATTTAATCAACATAAGCTTGATGTTTCTAAAAGAGAGACTTATTTACAAAAGGTTTTATAGAAGCGTATTTTTCCTTTTTTTTTCACCCAGTTATTCCCTGAATTAATTTTCCCTGATTTAATTATATAATATGGTTAAGAGATACTGTGCCTTGTTCTCACTGGAGTATGTCTACACTATTAAACTGACAGATGTTGCATAACTTACACATCATGTCTGATATCTATACAACTAACTACTACTCCTGTCTCTTCCATCCTATATATCCATCTCTTTCCTTCTCTCCCCATCTCCAAAAGCAAGGACTGCCTCATACATATTGGTCTTGGGAACAGAACCATGACCTAGGCTGTCCTATGGTAGATACTGAGCTAATAACAGTTAAGCAGAATAGACTACTATGTGACTCTTTTTTAGTTTGTTAACCAGATATAGCATTTGTCTGCCAAATTGCCTTGTGTCTTAAAAACTGCTAATGTATAATTTTTCTTTTTGATCATGACTGAGCACTGACCTGGTACTTTCATAGATCTGTGTTAACACCTGCCTTATAGTTTTCCTTCTGTATGTAACAATAGAATGGCTTTTTTCCTTTACATTTGTATAAACTAATTGTATTTGTTGAATGAAATATATTTGTCTTTTGATCACTCAGAAATATCAGGATGTTTTATTATGGGTGCATATGAAGGTCTGTATGGAAATGATAGCAGCAAAATTATAAGAAAGCAGTTCTAATACATCTAATAATTTTATAATAATCAGGAATAATTTACGTGGTTATACAGTCATTTTCTAAATATTAATAAGCTAAATGTTAACCCAGAATATGAGATTTACCCTTCCTATTTTAGCGCCTTTGTTGCAAAGCCATTAAAAATGGACACCTTTCAGGAATGAAATTTTTTTGTATGGTGTTTTAAATGCTTGGGGCATCTTGCATTTCAATGATGTTAAACACTGATTTGGGGGGAAATTGCTGTCTTGAATTTAGTTTTCTTAATTCCATCTATGTAATTTTTATCTCTGAAGTGTCTTCCCATGATCTGATTCTATACTTGGCGTGTGTTCCTAACACCCTTCCTCTTTTTCTAGCACTTGATTTCTAACATACTCCTTTTTCTTAGATACGAATATGCCTACTGGTAATATTTTTTTAAAATAAAGATCTTAGGCAGTTAAGTAAGAGTAACTGACCTAGGTCAATTGCATGAGATGTCTCCAAGAATTGCTACTTGTAAACTATAAGACATTTAGTACAAGTGTATTTTTATTCTCAGTAATTTGAAAGTTGACACTCGGCTTTTTCTTATGTAGCCCTTCCTTTCAGTTTATAATAGTCCCTGAAGGAATTGTCAAATAATTAATTAGTTGACCCAGGTTTGCAGTTGAGGGAGTTGCAGGATTCCTTTCTGCTTACTTGTGGAGAGCCTCTTGAGTACTCTAAGCTTTAGACATATGCTGGCATTTAATTTGTCTTGTAGTTTTAAATGTCACATAAAGTTCAAAAAACAGATCATTGAGCTATTAAACAAAGGCCCAAGATGGTTTATCTTCCTAATGGGATAACACAGAGAATCGGGATTTGGGTTTGATCTATGGCTTTGTATAACATGCTTTAAATTTTTTGTTTAGGCATTTTGGAAGGGTTTTCTTTTGGGAAAGAAAGTGGCCAGTGCTCTTGCAGCTGTTAAAATTGATGAAGTGGAGGATGAATATGAAGAAGTAAATGTGGATGCTTTGACCTTTTCTGAAGTATGCACAATCATTAGCATAAAATCTTTATTATTCTTCTCAAGGTGTTGGAAACAAAAGAAATTGAAAGGACTACCAAGGCTGGAATTAACTGTTGTATGTTCAGAAATAAAGAACTATTTGTTATATATAGCTGATTTAAATATATTTGTCATGGATTAATTGCTTCCTGTTCTTTGAGATGCTGTGGTAGTTACTGTGCTGTTAATGTCACACCCACCATAGAACTCCATATATTTCTACAGTTAAAGGACAGTCAAATGAGGATAAGGAAACAGCTCCTTCTGTTCCTTTTTTTTAATCTTTCTGGTATTTTAGTAGCAGATTATAATGTCAACAATACTTTAGTGTGCATTTTGTTCATTTTCATGATAAAATGAGAACAATAATATAACTGAAAATATAGAAAATATAGCTGAAATCCAGTGTTTCAGTATTCCAGTAAAAAGGACACATCCCCAAAACCAGAGGTGAAGCAGGCTTATTATCTCTTCTTTTGTCTTATATGTAATATGCTAAAAGCATCACAGGTCTAAATATAGTAGTAAATTATGAAGAGAAGTACAGTTAAATCAGGAAAAACACAAACCCATACTTAGAAGCTCTGTGATGCACAAAATCCAGAAATTGTTACTAGTAATTTTTACAATTTATATAGGTTTAATAATGTTCTTTCAGTCTCAAAACCATTGAAATTGGCTCAGAAGTTTCCATTGTAAGAAATTTGAAAATTCAAAGGAATTTGAGGAATAACATAACATTCAAAACTGCATTTAGCTATATTTAAGTAAAAACCAAAAACTTTTACAAGATCAATATTATCATTCAGTAATCAAGGAAAACCATCTTTAAAGGAATTTTGTCTCTTATAGCCTCAAAAGACACAGTTTGCATGGGAATTTCTAGACCTGGTTTACATAGTAAGGCAGGTGTTGGTGACTTACCTATATATTCATCTGGAGCACTGCTTTCTCTGATTGTTCACATTCATTGGCTGCCTATTTTTATTTTTTTAAATGCTTTCAGGTAAAGCAAAGAAAACTGACAGCAGTATGGCCATTTGAGACCTAAGAGGATATGACTGAGATTTTTTTTCATGAACCCTTGTCTCTGAATGTGCTTATTCAGCTGCTGTGTCTTTGCAAGAGCCATTTGTCAATATTCCACTGTAATTTTGTGAAGGAGATTGATGCAATAGCCCTGCTACTGGCAGGACTAGGTCCTATTTATTATCACGTGTTTGGATAGGTCATAGAGAGTCATGAAGTCAAATATATTGTTAGTTGGTTGGTGCAGTGCAGTTTACAGTTGATCAGTCTTTGGTCATCTGAGTATCAGCCTTCTTTTGCCAGCCTCTCCCCTTAGAAAGTAGCTGGGCTTTGTATGAAAGTATTACCAATGACTTGATGGCTTACTGTAATTTTATTTTTTTCTTCTCACTTTCAGCAACTATTTTAAAATACCTTTTCAGAATTACTACTATGTTGTAAGAGCATGCTAAATGTTTGAGGCAGGAGTCCCAAGAATCATTTGGTAGACAGAAAGTTTGTGTATATAAACACAGAGATCTGGCTTAAATTTTAGGATTTTTTTTCATTTTAATTTGAAATATATATACAAAAAAGAACAGTTTCATTAGTTGATGTCCTGTGATCCCTGGCTTCTTTCTAAAATAATAAGAAGCAGAATGTTGAAGGTTTTATTTCTTCACACAGGAAGGAAGTATCTGTTCATATATTAAAGAAGGAAAATATCCTGGTTTGAATTATTCAGCCAGTAGGCCAGAGTCTTACATACTGTAATTCAATTGAGCCGTTCTTTTTTCACTCTGTTTGGCCCAAATAATCCTGTCATGTTTTTTGATTTTTTTTTTTTACAATTGCTCAACTGAAAACTACAGGGACAATTTTGTTCCATCTTATCTGTCAGCACAACAATAGCATTTGGGCAGGTGCTTCTAAATCCAGGGAGAAAAGGAGAGAGTGGAGAAGGCAGGAAAAAGGCCAGCTCATTTCAGAGTGGCTTGTACTGTATCACCCTCTGGTGTTGCCACACATTTCTTTCTTCTTTTTCCCATATTGTTATGGAGTTTATTAGGAAAGAAATAAAACATAGGTTTAGGGAGCAATTCTCTGGAAGCGTTTAGGTTCAGATGATGACAGGTGAACCATGAGCTGACATTTTAATTTGCACAGCAGGCTCAAAGGCTGAACTGGGGACTGATGTCAAATAAGTTACTCAAGCCCTTAGCTTCTTGTGCTGAAAAATATAAGAACATCTGTTTCCCACAGAACAGTTTACGTGATAAATTTACAACATATAAGTTCGTGAAGGATATTCTTTGTTCAGTGAGTGAGCATTTCAATTTTCAAGATTCATGGCTGTAACTAGAATTATACTCTGCAATATTTGTCAATTTTTTTCTTTTTGTTTTCTTTTTTATTCAAGTGTATATCTTGTCTGTGCTAAAGAGTATGATTGTGAGGAATGTGTGGCTTAACTGCAATGTGCACACGGTCTGCTCTGCCTAGGCCTGATTAGCCTTTCTCAGTACTAGGTTGCCTGTTTCCTTGTATCTTTAGCTGTTTTGTTCTCTGCAGTTCGCTAAGACCTGATCACCTGGACTTTCTCCTTCTGCAAAAACAAGAAGCAGAAAATTGGAACAGTCTATACTTCCTATTCTTTCCTTTCTGGCCTCAGTGTTTTAGAGCAGTGCTGAAGCTGAGCCAAATAGTGACACATGATATCAATGACTATCTGTTGTATGTCAAACAAGTGTGTACTGAGAAGTACCTATTGCTGGGCTAAGAGAGCCTGTATGCTAGAGTGTGAAGGAAGATAAAAGTATTTGGACATCATTTTGTACTGCAGATTTCACTGTTGTATAGGTTGAGTGAAAGCAGAGAGAAGGGCAGGTAAACTTTTCCTTATTGCAAACTGGTATAAATGTATTAAATCTTATTAAACCATTTGCAAATATCTCAGTGCAATAAGTCATTAAGAATCAGTCTTCATTAAATAACTGTTTAAAATCTTCATTATAAACTCAGCCTATCCAGTGCTCCTTGAAGGTGAGGCTGTGAAACAGCATGGGGAAAACTTAAGTCTTTGCCAAAGATCTTCACTTTACTTCATTCAAGCATATCGAGCAGTGGGATATTTTTAGTAGAATTTTGACACCATATCATGTGAAAAATGGATTGCATGTGATTGGGCTAGAGGAACAGCCTTTATCTTGCTCACAATAGCATGAATATCAATCATTTCACCTGAACAATTGTTGATACCTCCTTGTATTCATATTGACTCCCATACATTGCCAAAGACATTCAGAGGCAATTGATAGCAGTACTGTTTTGTGTCTGTTTTACTGTGCAATGTCAAACAGGCTATCCCAGATGAGATGAAAGATCTGGCCAACAGATGTGTCAGAAAGCATGAGCCTGGTATTTAGTGATATTTTCACGTCTTTCATGTGGACTTTGGAGAATTCCAGCCTATATGCTCCAGAAGGCTGATCTTAAGGCAACCTTTCATCAGCAGTCCATCCCTGTAGCAAACAATCTATAAGGCAGAATTCAGTTTACCTCTGGTGGAAAAGTCTGACAACATGTTTGCTTGACACAGCTCTTACCTTTCTGTGCAATCTAAACATCAGCATTGTTGTTTTCTTCATGAAAATATGATGTGAGCCAAATGCAAAATGTCTGAACTTGCCAGTGTGTCAGAAAGCTGAATAAATTGAATATGATGAGTTTTTAGACAATTATTTACCCAGAGCAGTGACCACTGAATAAATTACTGTTTTCCTACACTGAGTCAGCATATGGACACATTACATTCTCATCAAGACAAGAATCAATATTGATGATTACATGCACAGAAAGTAAGTAATGTATTTTTCAAAACTTGATTTTTAAAATTTAATTTAAATTAGGGCTGTCTAGTCACACTTGTTCAAAGAGGAAGTCACTTTGTAAGCTGCAATCAAGCTAAAAAGAAATCCATCACTGCTTTGTTCATCAAAGGGAATAACTCTGTTGCCCTGAGACAAACTTCTGAGCTTGATTATGTATTTTTAAAATCCCAGTCTTTCTGACAGCTTTTGAAATTATTGATCAGGAGTTTTCACATTGAGTGTATTTGCATACTCAGACACATAGCCATTCCTGATTTCTTACTTGTCTTTCATGCCAGCTAGGTAGCACTTTCTCCCTTTTCACTCTTTTCCCCCTCCTCTCTTTTCCTCCCTCTCTTTTCCTCCCTCTCTTTTCCCCCCTCTCTTTCCCCCCCCACTTTCTTTTCCCCCCCTCTCTTTTCCCCCCTCTTTTCCCTTTTGGGGGTGGGAAGAATAAAAACTGCCTCACATGTGCTAACTCTTGAAAAATAAGCAATAATTAGAAGAACAATTTCTTTACATCTCCCATCTTTAGTATTCTTATCATATGTTCAAACTAGACCCATACAATGTGTTCTGTTTTCTTTTCTGATAATCCTTCATAATGTGGTTTGTCTCAGGCTGTGTGCTTGTGATTGTGGGCTTGTGACAGTGATTGCTGTTTTCTGGCTAGTGCCAGGAAATAAGTGTAGCCTATGGATTAGAAGGTCTCCATAACATTCCGTGTATCTTGACACTTATGTCTGTCTAGCTCTTGTAATTGCTTATAAATGTCAGATCAGGATCCAGATTTTCTGTTGTGTATGCTGCAAAGAATATGACCCTTTTTTCATCAAATTGCATATAATGTTATAGTGTAGAAAAGCAAAAAAGTGTTGATGAAAATTTTACTAAATCCATCCCCATCTTTTAAAAAGGAGGAAAAATCCCTCTCTCCTAAGTAATATATTGGAAGACTGATCTTTTTTTTCCATGAGTGTTTATCAATAATCTCTTGATGTGTTCCTGCTTCATTCATCTGCTGTGTTAGTGAATTGCATGTCATTCTCAGTCTGACATCAGCAGATGCATAAAATGTCTTTTCTACTTCTTTTACCTCATC